CCCCAAAACCCCAAAACCCCAAAACCCCAAAGCCTTAGCCGCAGATTGAAACAAATGAAGCTTAAATCCCTACTAACACAACCCAAACTCCTCTCTTCCACTTATTTCCTCTTCCTAGTATAACCTTCTCTCACCTAAATCCAAACAACCACTAACCTGAGCTCCCAAATCCAATAACCACCCCAAACACACCTATAACCCCTCCAAAAATCCCTTCACTCCTACTCCCCCACCCTCTACCCCCTTTCACCCCACACAAAAAATCCCAAATCCATCCCCCTCCTTCTCTTCTCCCTATTCTCTTCTGCACAAAATCATTTCTACTATAAGTTAAGCACACTTAAAAAGTCCTGAAGAGTCATTATTAAATATGTTGCTCGATTTAGAAGGGAAATTCTGGAACTGAGCTTTTTGGGGGAAATCTGATTTGGTTTGGGGTATATAGGAGTTGGAATCAGGTTTGTCAGTGAGAATCTGGGAAAAAATGTTGTTAAGATATAGTCTTGATTCAAGTTATAAATAAGATAATGTCTAGAAATGAGTCGGATTTTAAGTGAAAAGCTTAACAAAACGATCTAGCAATGAGCTTATGTAATATCAAATCATTTCTAACATGATACATTTTTGGTGGCTTTCTTGTACTTGTACAACAAGCAATGCCTGAAAACTAAGTTGATATTAATCAGAGAGTCTAAGCCTGGACTTGTCAGAGAATTTCTCAAAATTGAATAACAGTTTCGTATCTGATATAAACTCATTAAACGAGCAATACTATTTGTATAAGAAATATAGCTAGGCTTCAAGAAATTTATAAAGGGTTGGATCAAGATTTTTATGACATCTGTTTGGACTTTGGTATCTTCTTCAGTCACACCTAATATTCCATCTTATCAAATAATCAGTTATTTTTGGATTTTATTCGGCTATTTTTATTCCTTAATTTTCATTAATCCAGCATTTTCTTACTTTTATGATGTAATTTGGATCAATAATAGTGGATCTAATAAGGGGTAACCTAACTCTATATCTAGATCGGCTGACTCTATCTCTCCATGGGGAATGTTCGGTCTAATCCTTAGATTCTCATCGTTTAAGTTATAAAGAATGTGAATTTCTTCTAGTAGCGTTTACATATATCTCAAGGTCTTTATACTACAACGAGTAGCTTAGATCAGATTCTATATCCCCTAGGTTATAATCTCTCATTCAAGTAGACTCCAAGAAATCTAGTTTTTCCGATAATTGTTATCTTGTCCTGATTAAACACATTTGAGGGATTCTAGTGAAATTAAATAGAGAACCAAGTAGACAAAATCCAAGAGATATTTCCTATTAGTAGACTCCGATAAGGAGTAAGAGTAGTGATACATTGGAATGAAGATGCATGAAGAAGACACATTGAGAAACTTAATAGAATGTCTGATTAGGGAATTTCTCAGGGAAAGGCAGAGAGTAGCCTTGCTAAGACTCTCAGTTGCAACTTGCTGAGAACACATCTAACTGGATCTCATATAGGGAAAATAAATGAAATCAAATGAAAGAAGAAGATAAGATTAAGCTGTTGGCTTAGAACTTAGGAGATCTCTGTAAGGATCGCTTGAGACTTTATCCACTCAAGACATTGATCCTGGTTTGCTGGACCTTTCCGCCTTTAGAATTTCCTTGACAGCCACCTCGATTATTCTCTAATATTTTGAGCGCTTCATTACTTCGTATCTACAAGGACCAGCTCCTGATTTAGGATCTGTTAAGATCATACTTTTCAGCTTTGGAGCTGAGGTAGGGCCTACTTCAAGCAAAAGCACTTAGATATGTCCTACATTCTTGGATTAGAGATATAGTGTAGTGGTTATCACTCCATCTTTCTAATATTCATATCTAATTTTCAATTGGGACAAAAATATCAGGGGTTTTGGGGTTTTGGGGTTTTGGGG